CAAAATGACATAGGATTAGAATATCTGAGACATGTATAATCAGTCAATTTTGTTTTGTTTTTTTTTTTATATATAAAAATGGAATCACATGAGTGAATTTGAATTCGGATCTGGATTTTTACAGAATCGCAGGGCAGATCTGATGCTGGAGCCGGAAGGTTGTCATAGGGCCTCTGTAATTAAACTAATCAATCACATAGAGTTTGAGGTCATTTCTTTATATACATAAAATCTCCGCTCCAACACACGTAGCTTCATAAATTCAAGAAACGCTTTGTCTACATCGTATAATAAGAATAACCGAGATAGAGATAGAGTGTAGACAAAACGTTCTCGGGTTCGTCATGCTACGCCTGCAAGATAAAATTTTTGGACAATGAATTTAAAAAGCGAATATGTAATTTTATTTATTCAAAAAATAAATATAAATTCGCGTCTGACGCTATAGAAATACGACACAGTTTCTTATTTTTAATTACAGGTTTATTTGCACTTTGGTTTTTTTCAAAATCAGTAAAGATAACCTTTATTTTAAGAAATTACCATTTAAAAATATATCTAATTTTCGTTTCCCATTAAGTTCGGATCGTGTGTACCCTCCATTACAAAGGCACTATCGCTACGCTTCATAACATTGCGATAAAAAGTATCCCCATGCGAATATTGAGATAGCAGGACGATTTTATTTTTATATTTCAAATGTAACTTTTATTTCAGGACTTTTTATCTTCTATTTATTTAATGGAAAGTGCTTTTATCAATATCGAAATGCGACAGGGTTCCCGACTAGAATTGAAATTGGTTAAAAGTAATTTGATGTTGGCATGTTGTTCTAAATAAATTAAAGTTTTAGTTCACTGGAGTGTTATATTATAAACAATAAATTGATTATATTTGATTTGATCTTGCATTCATGATGTTATATTGAAAATTATAATTAATGAAAAATGCTTAAAAAATGCCCGGATTGAAAAAAGTCATAGGTTCGTGTCCCATCTCAGAGTGCCAGGGACGAAGTGGATTTTTCATTAAGAACAATAAATTTATTAAAAATTAAAATCAGACACTAATTATAAACTATAGTTTCTAGTGGATTGGCACAAAATTCATAGTGCATCATAATATCTATTTGTTTCCACACCATCTTATTTGTAATTCCTCTAAACCTATTTATCTCACTTAGCTGACTTGTCCCGACCAATCCCGACAGCTTAACCGCACTGTACACCCTAATAGTTGCTGCATAAACCTCCATAATCTAAGTAATTACTGTCATTTATTTTATTACACAAGCTAATTTGGATGTTTTGTGATGATAAAAAATTACAAATGCTTATCAGCCAACATAAATGTTATGTTTAATAATAGAATAATTAATTCACTTAATTTAAGTTTTTATATTAATTTTTCGTTATATATTTTTTAGTCTAAATAAAAGCAATGGACATGATGCGTATGTAAAAAAACCAAATTCTATTGAGTCCGCCAGCCAAATAATAGAAAAATATTAGATACATATTTTTTTATTCAATATGCATAGAAGTGGCATAGATAATAGGCATTAAAGTTGAAGAGTGGGGGGCTTGTTACGTCACAACTACGAAAAAAATATACAAAGGTGTCACGTCATGCGACATTTCAACTCAATATAGTTATTGATTATAAAATAATAAAAAAATATGTGTACAATCTTCTTCAATAATCTACCTGACCAACAAATAAAAAAAAATGTCATCATCCTTGTTAAAATGGAACTACGTTCTGTGGTAATGTATACGCATCCTTGTTAGTTAGAATAGTAATTGATTCTAAGTAACAGGGGTGCGACTAACCACAGAACATAGTAACCTTACTCTCATAAACCTAACTGACATAGAAAAATGTTACATTATAGGTACATTAGCAAAATTATTAACATGATATTTTGAACATGTAAGTTAGAGGTCCATCTCCAAAAGATCTTAAAGAAACCGCTCAATAAAAAGAGAAACCATAAATTTTATAGCTCTGATCCGAACCTTATCTATCGAAGAGCATCGTCAGAAATGGTCCTGGTTGAATTATGTGCTCGAAATGATAAATTGCTCCTCTAACCCTTTGAAAAGGAGCTTTAAATCAACTGCTTAAGATTGATTTTAAAATTTTGGTAGGTAAAATGGGTTATGTCCCCCGTTTTTCATGAAAACTTGAAATAATAATCGCGAGGTCAAATGAAGTTATTCCATTTAATAAGTTAGGGATTTTTTAGTTCAATTTTGAGCGGGAGTAAATCTATACAAAAATACTCTTATCTAAAAATTCAAAGTAGAATAAATGGCTTTCTGGGTCACTATGATGCGTTTTTGTATTTTGTTTTTACGTTAGGAAAAATACGTTACGCATACCTGCTTCCCTTTAGCGCGGGATCGACAGGTTATGTGGGTGTTTCGCCTACGGGCCCACCCCAGAATCTAGCTAGTCAAATAGTAGGGAATATCCACTAAAACTATACCTTCGCTATCACAATCGAACCCCAGAATGTGACTAGTCAAATAGCAGGCGATATCAATCGATATAGCTTAGGGATTGCCGTAAATTAAATAATTAGGCCACAGGTTTAGTCTCAATGACAATGCATGAATGACAGCTTTCATGTATTGTCACCGTGGAGCACCAAAGATGACTCAGGCATGTTACACGCATTCTCAAATGAAGGGTTCACAGAATATATTAAGTTAGAATACATAAGTTAAGTTTAAAAGTAGAAAAAAAAATATTTTATCATAAATAAAAGCGCTATTTACTGTTGTCTGTTGTATTATAAAACTAAAAAATATATAATACAAATCTTCTAATAACGATCATAGACTTGATGATTGCATTTTGCGACATTACTTACTGAGCGATCAAACAATTACCATTATTCTAACTCTTTCGCAGCCGCCAAGGGAATTGACACAAAAAATAAACAATATACTTAAAAATGGTAGTGAATTAGTGCTATAAGAAACCGCGTGAGAGACTTTGAAAGATAGCTGATACTGTTGTACGAACAACTAATGGAATGCTAACTGTTTGACATCGTTTAATCTGTGAAATTTTACATAAATTTGATGAAGTAATTTTGTAATTAGTTGTCGCCCTTTAGGTCATCATTATCATCACTAACCTATTAATATCCCCACTGATGGATGGAGTCGAATGGAATAGGGAGAATGGGCCATAACCCACCACGCGGTTTGGGTGAGGATAGGTGGATGTTAACAATTGCAGATGCAGCCGGGATTGATGGCTTTATATGCCTTTACGGAGGAGCTAGAGTTGTAAAAATTTTGCACACCCATCAATGACCGGTTCTTAAGAAAGTTGCTTAACTTTTATACCACAGACCGAACGCGCTAATATTGTGCCATCGGTCTCCTTACCTTTTTGCTTGCTCTAAAGAGTAAATTATCATTTTGAATTTTCATAACCCTTTATAGACGCAATAAAATAAGGATATCATCATATTTATTAAGATACTCTTATAAGTTTACGACTGGTAATAATATAGCAACTTTGTACTTTATAGCAGTCGTATAACTATTCTTAATATGTAGTTGTCTATCTATACAACTACATTGTAATTATAACAACAACAGCTACGTTACTATGTAATAAAATCAGCTTCGAACTTGACGTCAAGCACAGCGTTGTCATACCATAGTTCGTGTCCAATTTCGATTCCCGAACTGAGAATTAGTCTATTAAAATGTATGAATGCAGTTTTTCTTATAATTAGGGTGCAACCGCCTAACTTTAACCATACCACATTTCAATCAATATTTTTTGTTTAATTTTACTATTGTGACATTTTCTTATCATTTCGTAGGTATGTCGTGGGTCAATCGTTGAATTGGGCAGATCGAGATCTCCCCGATACGATACGATATACCGCTATTTTTTATTTTGCCATCTATTATCCGCCATATCGTTCAATGCTTAACATTTGATGATTTGCCAGACTATACTCAGGCCAATCGATTTTGAAGGGTGACCAACGTACTATGTAAGCAAAGATGGGCAACAAAGCGGGTTTTCTCCTACAGCCAATCTCTGTATGTGGTCAAATAAAATCAAGTTTACATAATAATTATTCCACTGGTAAATGAAAAGGCTGTTATTATTATAACAGTTCATAATGATCTTAAATTTAAATACAAAAACATAGAATGACATATTTCTTAATTATAATATTTTTACAGCTCAGTTTCAGTTACGCTTATGTTATCGTCGATCTGCTATACTTCTAACCGGGCCAATCGCGATTTTCCTGACGAGATTAAGAAATGGCGGCATATAGTGATATGCCTAAGAAAATCTCAATCGGCCCAATTCAACGATTGTTCCACGACAGGTATATCATAAAGCTGCAGACTTTTCCTTACTAACCGCTCTTAATTATACACCCTGTATATTATCTTGGACAAGAGATCTTGTACAAACAAATCAAAAGAGCCAACACCCCACAGGGTTGCGTTATTTAATTACAAAGTTCCTATGGCCACCTTCCAATTCCATCATCAAACCCTAGATATTATCTCGGTCCAAAGTCTCTATCAAGACATATCAAACGAGCCGAAATTCAATTGGTATGCTTAATTTAATTACATAAGTACATGACCTTCCGGCTTCATCATCAAATCAGCTCCATTCCATATCAACATTGCATTTCAAGTTGTCATACAAAATTTCAGCTCAATCGAAAATCGGCATGACTCAGATTTAGCTTGGAAGATTCGATCCATGAACGAAAACGGGTTAAATAAAAATAATTGTGCATTCATATTCTTGGAAGGTTAAAATACGATATTATTTCGTTACGAAATCTTTATGAGATGCTCTTGACGTATTTTCTCTGATTTAGTATTATTGTTGCGTTATTATTTTACAGAGTTTCAATTTTCTCGAGGCTTTGTGTTTGTAGTATGCCTTTGATCTCTTAATGCCACGGCATGTTCTATACCTTGTTTTATAATAAAATGAGAATTTTGATGGCGCTATTTGGTATGTTTGTGCGCTATTACATTTTTTAAGGTTACGTAAAGAAAGAAAAAATGGCCCCACATAAAGACTCTTTTCTATATGTACACAGTTTGATTGAAATTATTTCCAATTGGAGTGGTATACATGTTTATGTCGATGATCCAGAGACGACAGTAAATGAAGTATATGAAGATGGGAGGGTTAATTAGAAAACTAAAAAAAAAACTTTTGTAAACTATATCACGTGATATATCAAATGAAAGGGCGTGTTGGAAGGATGTCAAATAATGTGATAATTGATTGTTTATTATTTCAAGATTAAAAATTAAGAAAAAATATAAAAAAATGGACTCTAAAACATAATTTGTCGTAGGTTTAATAGTATCTTTTTTTCAATAGATATTGTAATCGTTGGATCAAAGGAAACAAAATATTCCTTTAGAGACACATTTGATATTCAATAACTTACAACGCAGACAAGGGATCTTATGAGTCTTTCAAGGCAACTTTTGGTAAGCCAAAATAAAATATACGATTTTCAAGATTATTTTCTCTCATTCCGAGGCTAAACATTAAAATATTTGGAGGGATATTATACACAGATATACTTCATGACGGTAACCTTTTAGCTGAATAGTGTTATAAGAGCGCTGGTAACAACTTCGTTCCGGGAAAAGTGCGCTCGCGTCAAACGAACCGTGTACGCGTGGGAATAAGGCAGCAATCGAGAGCAGCGGAATTCTAAATCTGTGGCCATTATCGACATCATTTCAGTGGTAATTTCTTTAGAAACCAAATGACTCGTTGAAGTTCACTTATATGATAATTCTTACGAAATACGAAGTTACTGTTTATCGATGCGACATCGATAGGGAATATGCACATTTTTGGAAAATGGTTTTATATGATAATTTACATCGATATATAACTTTAAAAAAATACCCGGCACCGAAAAACTAAAATTTTGTATAAACACCGGAATTTTTGGCGCGCTCGTCGTGACGTCAAAATACACGACTGATTGATTATTATTCAAATGCCCATATCGATTAACAACTCATCGATTTTTTAAAGTATAGACTTTTTAAATAAATCATATAATTTACCAAATTGGTGAAATAAAAGCCTAAAACATCATTTAAATTGTAATCAGTTGTTTATTTTGCGACATAATACATTGATGTTATTGCATCTATGTTAACTTTTTGTAACAACGAAAAGAACTATACGTGTACATTTTCGTCACATCCGCTCTGACAAGTAGCATGGCGTTTAAATATTTTGAAGTTACCGCGTTTATTTTGCACTTTTTAATAATTATTTTCAAGACGAAAACGAACTAATATTGAAAAACATTTAGATAGACTTTATACTAAGGCAATAACGATTGTAATAAAATGTATTTAACCCTTTTTTGAATCAGACGCATATTCCCTATTGCCGATACTAACAGTTCAATATTGCGAATTCGCTATTTTCACACACTGGAATTTCTCACTTTTTTCGCTTACTAGGACTTTAGTTTTGAACCGTCTCGTTTTTTGTTATCTGTTCCGGAGTCCCCGACGGTAACCCGTGGATGCTAAAATATCCCATTTCAAGGACGATGAGAAAATTTTATTTTAGGAAATCTGATGGTTGCATCCGAAGAGAGGAAGACGAGAATACTGCATTAGCTATCTACGAGAAGTTAATTCGTTTCGGAATTACTTTGGGGTTATTTGACACTATACACCGAAAAAGAAGGGTTCGTTTATCAAGTTTCTGGGCTATTCAACACTCACCCCCCCTATTTTCTTAAATAAAAAATATGTCTCGTTAGGTATAGTACACAGCTTATACATTGTTTCTTAGTCCACAGCCTTACGTGTCGTGCGCTGTGATGCATGTGACGCCGTCGAATCGCACGCCTGTTCCGCGACAAATGTATTTCTTACTCGTATTTCTTATTTAAAAATCAACCTGGCCATTTCCTTCCTTTTCCTATAACCGCTATGAAAATTTAATTATTTGTTGTGTAATTTTGTGATATTGCTTTTCTTGTAACACTTACTTTGACGACAAAATTAAATAAAAACATGGCGGCCTTGTTTGTAGAATATTATTTTAAAATTAATATGACATCGTAACATGTTTAGTGAATTCTAAAATGAAATATATAAAATTGCTTCTTTAATTTTGTAATTGAAATATGTATTTATTTTATCTTAAATCCTATTATTTACATCAGGAACGTGGACTGAAGGTTACTTTTGCTAGAAGAGAAATTAGAGAGAAATATGTATATTTCAAGAATACGTACAAAATGACAAGACAGAAAACAGACACTAATAGTAATGACTGGATTGCACCATGTTAACAGTCAAATTTAATCATTCCTTTTATCATTTTTCATTTTAAATAATACTTTAGGATATATAACAGTTTAAAGTTGTTTAACAAAACAATCATTCTCGCTAATTTTATTACTTATTGATTTAAGTTTGTATTTAAGGTATAAACGATATACAAAAAAAAAACAGTGAAAAAATAAATAATTTAAAGAAAAACAAAAAACCCGACTGCGTAAAAACGATTTTTAAAAAATACATGAAAAAATTAACTTAAATAAAAACTAAAAAGAAAGAAACAAGCCCTGTAGTTTATAATTCTGTTAAGTAATACAATAACTATATAATTGAAATAGTTTTATATTGTGTAAAGTTAAAGTTATGACGTCATCTAACCATTGCCAAACGGTGCCATGGATTATTTGCTTAAAAGATACTTAAACATGTTTGTTATTGTTAAAGTAAATTAGTGCAACCGAGACTAACGGTTTCTGAATTGGGAAAAGTAGATAATGTCAAGTGATTATTCTCAATTACTTAAGTTTCTTACGTTTCACAAGGCAAAAAGTCCTCGTTATATCGAACTGATATCAACTGGGGGCCAATTCTACTAAATAAATTTTGTTTAAATCGAATCGAAAACGGATCGAAACCGAACGAAACTACAGTTTTTAATGGTTTTTCTATTCTACAAAGTGACATACGATACAATTCCAGTTCTATTTTAGCTGGAATTGTATTGTATGTCACTTTGTAGAATAGAAAAACCATTAAAAACTGTAGTTTCGTTCGATTTCGATCCGTTTTCGATTCGATTGAAAAAAAATTATTTAGTAGAAGTGGCCCCCTGATCATTAAAAAAACTAAAATGAGAAACGAAAATCTGTTTATGTGACGTTTAAGTACAGTTTAAGACGTGCTTAAGTTTAAATCCAAAATTCAGAAACCGGGTGTAAGTGACAGCCATATAAAATTCAAATTAAAAAAGTATATAAAAACACTTAGCCTTAGAGGTTGGCAAAGCTGTCGTCAACAAAGCCGTTAATTGCCTCACTGTATGGCAACTAACACAAAGAGATACCACTGAAACAATTTCTCGAAAATATTGTGAAGTATTATTAGAATAAAATCTTATGAAGAACCATTATAAATAACTTTTTATTTGTGTTTCTTTTGTTGAGTTTTTCTTTTCTTCTACAAGAATGAATTTAACAAATTCGAAAAAGAATATACACAAACTGAAAAACCTTAAGTTGTTATTTATCATTGTTATTACACATGTTTGGCCAGAATAAGAAAGAACTTTTTTGACTATACCTTTCAGGTTTTTACCAGAACAGTCAATTTATAACAACTCAATATTTTATGAAAAGAATTATTGATGCCATTTATAAATTTTTGTTGATATTTATTATGGTAAACGCATCAATAGGGGTGTAAACAACTTTATATTTTTATTTTATAGATATACATGAAATATATCTAAAAAATATGAAGTTAATATCTAAAAATAAATTCAATTTTCAAAATTTTCCGCGAACACAACACTTCTGTTATGACGTTGCTATAACGTCACGGCCCTCTGAGCGCATAGTGTAAGTTTTTTTGACGTTTACGTTCACTGTCGATCGTGAGCGCGTTAAGATTTTAATATGGAATCCGGTACAGCGCCCCTAGCGGTAACTACCAAGAACTACAAATCTCCATACAAAATCTTAACGCTCTCACTAGTGAACGCGTAAGCGTAAAACTTACACTTACCACTCTGAAACTAATATCGTTCTATGTATGCGTAAGAGAATAAGAGGAGCGTGACGTCACTCGCTGTTTGCGGTCACGTGACAAGGAGTAAAAAATATTTGTTTTTTCAGCAATATTATAAATACAATAAGCATAAAAGTGTGATTAACTGATTATATATAATAATGCTACGTTTTCAGAACAGAAGTTGGACAACTGCCTGACATTACGATGGTACATTTTAACATCCGTCACAGATTACTTCCGTACCCAAATAGTACACAAACGGAACTCTATTACCGGTCGTACGTCATCATCCGATGTCCGTAACACCCCCCTCCCTCCATTTAATATACTTATTACATAACAAAGGAAATCAATTAATTAAAAAGCTGTACAAAAAAGATATCAAAAATATAAAATGACGGCTTGAGTTAATATTATTTCGTGAGAACTTTTTAGTTATTAAGAACTAAATCGATACCTTGCTCAAAGGGCGTAATCACAAAAATTTAAAAGATTTCAGGAGATCCAAAAAATTTTAAAGTTTTGTCATAACTTAGTTGGTATTTATTCTATATATATAATTCTTTTACTAAAAGTCGTTACTAACATTTTAGGAAATAATACCTATATTAAGAAACAATATTACTCCTGCCTAATTCACTATAACATTCATTATAAATTACATCGATTATTTTACATATTTGCAGACTTGAAGTCGCAAGTTTAATAGTATTGAAACTACATAATCTAGTTTATGCAGCAGAGTTGCTGCTAGTTTTTTTAGGGTACCGTACCCAAAGAAACGGGACCCTATTAATGGGATTCCCCTCTCCGACCGTCTGTCACCATGCTGTTCTATCTTATGAACCGTCATAGCTAGATAGTTGAAATTCACAGGTGATGTAATTCTGTTGCCGTTATAACATCAAATAAATTAACAAAAAACAAAATTAAATAAATTTTAGGGTGGGCTCTCATACAATAAAAGTGAATATCTACGCTTAAGAACCAAGACCATCTATCTACACTTTTGGCGATTTTGACTTTTTAATGCAGTTCTTTTCGTGGTTAATTTACGCATCGCATCCTTGAATCGATTACCTCAAAGTCACAATAAATAAGGAGTTATGAGACAATACCTATACCACCTTAGTTACGTGTCGTAATAATTGTATGGAAATACCACCTATCTACAGAGAACGTGTAATTTCTCTGTAAATAGGTGGTATTTCCATACAATTCGTTTTAAAATTTAATAAAACTAAGAGTTTTTTTTTGTTTAATTCAAGTCTTTAATCTATATTATTTCGTTTGCCAATACCATCTATATTACAGTTCGCTGCATAAATATACGCAAATATTTTACTTATACCAGCTATCTAAAGTAATTTTGAAACTAATGAAGATTTCTTGAAATACATGTAGACACCTTATTTCCCATGTCTACCCATTAAATGATCAGATATAAAAATAAAAAAACTTGTAGAATAAATATGAAAGGTTTTTATCGTCTCCTGTAAAATCGACATTTTTGTAGATAAATGGCCTTGATTCTTTAGCGTCGATGCGTGAGTCTGTTTTTATTTATTTACCTTTTCCTACTTGGCCTGTTATTACATATTTATTAAATGTAACTTTTCGGGTATAACAATGAAACCAGTTAATTGCAAACGTAACACTGAGTTTTTTTCTTGTCACCAGTATCCTCCTTACCAAGTCCAACGGTGTCTGATGAAGACGATGATGATGACGACACCACTCCCCAGAGCAGAGCTGATGCAGACGACGACGGACGGGTGTACAAAAACCCGAGGAACTCACCGTCCGCGGAATGCCCCAGGGACGAAGAACAGGCCACTTTGCTGGTAAGAAAAAAACTAAAAAAAATACAGTTCTATATTAGACAACAAACAGATCATATAATTATCACCAGCCTGTTAATATCCCCATATCTGGGGCTCAGACATTCCCTATGGAATAAATAGAATCGATTAGGGAGAATGGTGCGGATTTAAGGGTATTAACGACTGCAAATGCAGCTGGGACCAACGGCTTTACGTGAGTTCCGAAGCACGGAATAACTCGAGATATTTTTTTGGTCACCCATCCCGTGACCGACACTTACGAACGTTACTTAACATTAACTATCGCGGGTCGCGGCGGTTATAAATTACGCCACCAAGCTTTTCAATATATTCTATTATAGAAAGATTTTCAACATAAAATAATATTGTGTTTTGTCTCCAAAGAACTTTATATTAATCGTCCTCAAAGTCACAAGACACGGTATTTCTTCTTATTCGAATCGTTAGTCTCAAGAAATGCAATATAAACAAAATTTAATTTGGCTGTGTGGAAAATGTGCTTTTGCCTTGTAAGAGGAAAAAACTGCCAAATTAAATAAGCGTTTTGACGTTTATTGTATCATTTTCTTTCGACTCTAGCAAAAAAAAGTTAAATTACAGCTAAGATTCGTAAGACAATCAAAAACACGAAAATTCTCTGAGTTGAATAAAAGTTTGTAAGAAATGAAACAGAAGCGAATCCAACGATTTAAAACAAAAACTTAAACCCCGGCCACTAGGCCGGATCGGATTCAGTTCTCGCTCGGATCAATGAAGAAAATTAACTTTTATATGATAATAAGAAAAATATTAAGAAATTCATTCAGGCTCTACATTGTCTTTGATCTGGGTGTTATAGCACCTTCTTCATTTTAGATTTCCAGATTTTAGCTTTTAGTATTAAGATACACATAAATGGCTAAGATTTATGTGAAATATCTGAAAAATAATGAAGAGTACACCGAAAACGCTTTCTACCAAATCAAGGCACTATGTGACATTACGCAGTGCTACGGTAACGTACGGTAGAGTAGCTCGGTGGCGTAGTGGATTAGCGCCGCGGCCCGCGATCGTAGTCGTTAAGCGACTTTCGCAAGGGTCGGTCACGGGATGGGTGACCAAAAAATTATTATCTCGAGCTACTCCGTGCTTCGGAAGGCACGTTAAGCTGTTGGTCCCGGCTGCATTTGCAGTCGTTAATACCCTCCAATCCGCATTGGGCCAGCGTGGAGGGTCATAGCTTATCCTCCTTAACCATCCATAAGGAAGGCCTGAGCCCCTGCACGTTAAAGGGCTGATGATGATGATGATGATGATGACGGTAGCGAAAAACTGGGAGTCTATTATCTTTGTAATACCTTTGTTATTATCGTTTATTCTTATAACTGTTATAATGAAAGTTGTAACGTTTTATGTAACTAATTTAATGCTATAAGTATTTTAGCAAATGTTTATACATAACTATTCCCTTTTCTTTTCAAGTTTTCAAAAATCGTAATATTTTAAAAATATTTATCTGTTAAAATGCTTCATATTTGCCGAACATATAACATATGTCTGTATTTTCACATGTAGGATACAAGCCTAATAGGCTTTTATTTTATTACACTTTTCTAATTTATAGGGGCAAAAGTGTTTGAGGAAATGCTCATCAGATGAAGACTGTAAGAGCAAGAAGAAAAAATGCCTCTGCGACGGCGCCTGCGGGATGTCTTGCATCAAACCAGGTAAGTGCCAGCTAATAATTAGCACCCAAAACTGCCTCATCGTAATGACTTACCTAAGTCCCTTGAATAACAATCTACTATTCATAATAATGACTTAAAATACATAAAATTTATATACTATCATGCGTTTGACATATTGTTTACTGGGGACGGAGGAGAAGATTGAGAAGAATGTGTCCTATTCTTCTTAATCTTCTACGCCGTCGCTTCGCTCTTAGCAGAGCCGTCGTGGTCACATTGAGGCGTCCATGTCAGTGTTAGAGACGGACACAGATTTCTCACTCTTCTCTCTTTCTCTGTCTGCTGACTGTTTGGTCTGACGTCAGGTTTCCCTCGGAGTATTTTACTTGATCAGTCCAGCTCATAGGTGATCTATCACATGTTCTGGTTTATAGAAGTATTCGTACATAGCATTTCATAAATAGTTACATTTATTACTTAAAATTTGATAGTGCAATAGCTCGTGGTGTACATGTGCAAGACTTTATAATAATCAATACTTCAGATGGTGTCTTCAGTCTCAGGTGGTGGAACATTCAATGGTGGCCCCGGTGCCAGGTTTCCCTCGGAGTATTTTACTTGATCAGTCCAGCTCATAGGTGATCTATCACATGTTCTGGTTTATAGAAGTATTCGTACATAGCATTTCATAAATAGTTACATTTATTACTTAAAATTTGATAGTGCAATAGCTCGTGGTGTACATGTGCAAGACTTTATAATGATCAATACTTCAGATGGTGTCTTCAGTCTCAGGTGGTGGAACATTCAATGGTGGCCCCGGTGCCTTTTGTAAAAATCCAATAAAAAATTACTAGCCATTTAGACATTTACAATCTACCTACTCTTAACATACATGATTTTCCTGATTATATCGTTACAAAACACAAGCACTTATTTGTTACGAGCTGTCTGTTTATTAAAGAAGGTCCTATATGTTACTACAAAGGTACAATAAAATCAAACGAAAAAAAAACGCGCTTGTTCTGGATAATCACAACTTTAGTTTTAAAGAAGAGAACTAAAAACAATCGTTGTCTTATAGTAATGTTGATTTATAACAAAATATTAGTAATAGCATATTTTAATGACGAAGTTGAGTGAAATGTGAATTACTAAGACATGTCTAAAAAAACCATAAATATCCTGTCTGAAATTGGTACCTATTCACTTATTCCTACTTCCCCTTCATAATATTAGTATGGATTCATTAAAATTATTTTAATGCTTTTTCTTTCTCTTTTTCTTCGTCATCAATTGTGTATCCTTGATAGCTTTCAAATTTCGTTTAATTTTCTTTTCAACATCACACCGTCTCACGGTGTTTTATGTATTAAGAAAATAATGGAAATTTCAAAATTCTTCTATTAATTTAAATAAGGAATATATCAAAACTAGCTGACCTGGCGAACTTCGTACTACCATATTCGTACTTCGTACTAAATAAACACTTGCCTAAGAAACAATAAGTATATTTTATTCGTTTACATTCGCGACATAAGCGAATAATTGAGATGATAATCCTATCTTGTACGTTAGACCAAAATACGGGTACATGTGAAATTTGATTGAAATCGGTTCAGTAGTTTTGGAGTTTATTAGCAACATACATCGTTACACAATTTTTTTATATATATAAGATATATTTATGTCAATAGAATAACTGATTAGCCAGATAAATACCTAAATACCATACCTTTTTAAGTCGCTTTTATTTGATCGAACCTCGAACCTCTGATCGTTATGTGTTCCACGTTGTGTTCGATACAATTTTTTTTTGCAGAATAGCAAAGCAAATTCTTATATTTCTCCTTCGAATTTACTTCATATGCGGTTATTCCGTTTCTTGGACAAATATACTGGTTCGTTTTTAAAACAAAATGTTTAGCGTTATAGTACCAACAGAAAAGTAGATCGTTTCTTGGACAAATATACTGGTTCGTTTTTAAAACATTTTGTTTTAGTACCAACTATAACGACGACATTTACAAAAACTATGTCATTATGAGTAGCTCGGTGATGTAGTGTATAAGCGCTGCGGCCCGCGATCATTGTTGTTAATCAACTTTTGTAAGGGACGGTTACGGGATTGGTGACCAAAAAAAAATTATTATCTCTAACTAATTCATGCTTCGGAAGGCACGTTTAGCCGTTGGTCCCGTGTGCATTTGCAGTGGTTAATACCTTCCAATCCATCCAGTTAATACAATCAGCGTGAAGTGTTATGGCTTATCTTCCTTAACCATCCATAAGGAAGGCCCGAGCTCCTGCATTGGGGACGTAAAAGGGGCTGATGATGATGTCATTATAAATTATGTGTCGAAAACAAATTACTTTATAAATATCTTAATTTTTTTTAATATTGTGAATGCAGAACTGGTCAAATATAATCATTATAGCAATATTCTACCTAAATCGAAATTTTAAAATATTTGTAATGTAAATTTATTTCTGACTTATTGAGTGTATTGCATGAACAATGATTAAAATACGCTCACTAGTAGCGTAAGTAATAACAACTTGAGAAATTCATCATACTTACTTGTTGGGTCTTACATAACTCAAATGTAGGTTCCAGTCCAATGTTGGGGTATCTGGGACTGGTCAATTTAAGAATTCTGAATACAAAATCGAGAACAATGAATAAAAAGCTTATCTTTAAATATCCATCTTGTATTCGCCAAATATGGTAATACGGGTAAAAAAAGCATTACAATGAAGTGCCCATTCCGCTTTTGGGCAAACAATTTGCCTCCAGAGTTGTCATTCAGGGACATTATGGAAATAACCCGTTACTGTTTACAGTAGCTCCTTCGGGAATGGATTAATGTTTTATTGGTTTAGATTTAAACTGTGATCTGAGATTAAAATGGATCTTTTCGTTTCTTATCAAAATTTGACGCTAATTCTTGTTAATCTTTCAACGAAATATAGAACGTTAAGTTGATTTACTAATTAGTTGTTTCCCTGCGACTTTGCCCGCGTATATTATAGTCTATATCACCCTCGTATGATAAAGCTTTGTGTAGGTGTAAGAATTTTCATTATTAGTTCAGTATACAGGTGGCATTACTTGTGGCAATTACTGGCGAACTGAAAGACAGACTGGCGTACAAAGGGTTCCGTAAAAATGCAAAAAAAAAAAACTTTCGTTGTATGAGGGGCCTCCCGTAAATATCTATTTTATTTTATTTTTAGTACTTATTATTATAGCGGCAGCAGAAATACATTTTAACTGTCGAGCTAATTCGGTTTATTAGATGCAGACTTGTGACAGACAGTGAGACTTTTAACTTTTTGGTATGTATAGAACCCAAAACAATAAAATTTATAATTTGTTCAGATTTTCAAAGCCATACATTCGCAACTTAATGATAAACGACTAACTTTGATTATTATAAAATAGGTATGATTTAAAAGTTTATATCCAATTAAAAAACACTTTATTTATGCAAAAATACGGTAATACCATGATATCTACCTAATTTTACGATACTACAAACGAACGACAATAAAAAGAGTGATCCAGTAAAGTTCCTTGGGGTATTCAACAGCTTTCTAAACAACTCCGTCGAATTTTCCAGTCTAATTGGGTTACGTGTCAAAGAAGAGGGGTGGACAGAGGAAAATAGAGAGACTAATGAGGAAAAACATCCAAGTAATTAGTTTGCGAAAAAAGAAACTCATAAACTTTGCTTTCATAGCTTCGGGCATTATTGAAATGATAGCGTTAATTAGATTAATATTGATGAAAATACTGTCTTATTCTTGAAAGTATAAGGTATAGTTTTACGTGACATACAACATCAAAGTTATTATTATTAAAACATCAAAGTTAAGTTTTTTATAGACCAATATTGAGATAGAGAAAATAAAACGTGTACCCATATAAATATACTCCAAACATGTGTTTATGCGAAGAGCCAAAGTAAACTGATTTGTGTAGTCAACCTTCTCAACTATATAAGTTTTAGAGACTTAAAAAATTGTAGATATTTTTTTACACGTAGCCTTTTTGAGGACCGCCAAGTGGACTGATTCCTTTCTTTAATTTTCTGTTTCTATAGTTTATATCCAGTTGCACAAACGTCCATAAAGGTTTAATGACGACTTTAAACTCTAATGAATGTTCTAAATTTAAAATTAGTATAGATCGTCTTGCTTTAATTACGTTAATTTTAATGTACGTTTGTTCAATGTTTTTATTTAAATACTTTCTTGGTTTTTGTTTTTATTTTGAAGTTTTTAATTTTGATTATTGACGAAACCGGTTTTAACGGCTCCTGTTTTATGGGCAATAGAGCTTTGTGAAGATATCTCAGTGTTTTTATTTTCGCAGCCGTAGTGCCCACATCTCCTTCGTCATCATCTACATTCGTTGTTATTAGCCTTCTATTCCTTCTTTCTATTTTCATTCTAAAACTGTGCTCTATCATTTCATCAAAATAAAAAAAAAAACATATCTAAACGCAGTAAAGAATTATTGAATGCTGACTCAACAGGAAGATCTCCACCTATACAGCGTATTCATATAAAAAGGAATCACGAACAAACACAGCAAAGGAAACACATATACAAGTAGGAAAAAATGAGAAAAAATCATCCCATATCTGCAGCATAAACTAATTAGTTACGTCATTAGTTGGTTAGTCTCGATTTAGTTAGAACGTACGCAGTACTATTATATTAATACTCTGAAACGTTGCAAATATCGTTCAGATTCCTAAAGCACTTATTAACGAAATCTAAAATAACGAAAGTACCACAACTTTTACGTTGACCTGACCGGAGAATCGAACTCTGTCCCTCAAAGATGGCGACGCTTTGAGTGTTCGCGAACGAACGATAAATTAATTGGAAGTTTACAAATTACCCTTCACGCGGGTCCAATGCGGATTGGAGGGTATTAACGACTGCAGACGCAGCCGGGACCAATGGCTTAACATTCCTTCGAAGCACGGAGTAGATCGAAATAATATCTTTTTGGTCACCCATCCCGTGACCGACCCTTGCGAAAGTTGCTTAACAAAAACGATCGCGGGCCGTGGCGCTTATCCATTCCTCCACCGAGTTACTCATATCTATGTGTGTGTATAATGTCTAAACAATGTAATGAATAAGAAAGTTAGTATCATAATTATTTCGCTCTAAGTAGCTTGCAGTAATACATCCGTACATAATTTTCCAGCGGCTTCACCCCCGTGATCTCTAGGGTTAAATAGTTACCGATACAAATATTAGTAAGATTATATAGTTTACTCCTGTGTAAATCAACTGTAAACAGTAATTTGGATATCGTGACACGGTACAGAGACAAATAAAAAAAAAATCAGAATCATTTATTCAGTCTAGGCTGTTACAAGCACTTGTGAAAGTCGAGAGCTACGCCATCGGTTCGTAAATCTACGGCGGGAGACCTTGTACCGAGAAGAACCGGCAAGAAACTTGGCAAGGGCTGCTTTTTTCTCCGTTTTATTTCATACAGAGCGTCAAGATTGAAAAATGACTTCATTAAAATTTGAAGTCACTTTCCATTACAATATTACACAATATTAGAGTAAATCGAACAGTAAACATTGGTTA